TTGGCAACTATGTAGATTCTGAACTACATACATACCCTGTATATACTTTGGCACCTTCTAGGCCCTCAGAAATGGCATCTGCCATTCTCATTTACTGCCATCATGGCCCAGTGGGGCTGGGCAGTGCTTTACTCATTGAACAAATATTTATTAAATCCGGCTCTGTATCAAGCCCGGTGCTAATACTGGGGTGACAGAAACAAAGAATGGATCTGTCCCCTACTTTCCTGGGGGTGAGTCTACAGGGAGAGGCTAATCATGAAAAACGCAAACTCACTGCCGTCAAGTTGATTTTGACTCACAGCGACCCTCCAGGACAGAGTAGAACTGCCCCTGTGGGTATCCGAGATGTAAGTCTTTATGTAAGCAGAGAGCCTCCTCTTTCTCCTGCAGAGCAGCTGGTGGGTTCAAACTGCTGACCTTGCGGTTATCAGCCCGGCGTGTAACCCACTATGTTTCCAGGGCATCCTGATAATGAAAAGGAAACAAATATATGATTACAAATTGAGGTGGGGGCTGTTCTGCTCGAAGGACAGGGTAAGGGGGGTGTCCATCACGTGGCCAGGGCAGACTTCTCTCAGGCTTCTTTGGGGACATAGCCCGTGGAGCAGCCAGCCTTGGGAAGAGGCGGGCCTAGGAGCCCAGCAAAAGGCACTGAGCATGGGCGTAGCTGGGCCCTTTGAGGAGTGGGAAGGAAGGTGTGATGGACAAGGTTAGCTAAGTAGTCCAGGGCTGATCCCATAGCTCAAAGAGCCATGGTAATGGGGTCTGTTTTTCTAAGTGCAATGGGAAGGCAGTGGAGGTTTTATCAGCGACCCAATCAGATGCGGAGGGGCTGAAGTGCATGCGAGGGTGACCGTTAGCATCCAGTTGGCAAAGCTTTCCCGAGCATCATCTCACCATCTGAGGAGGTGGGCTGTAGGAAGCATGTCTGGGTTCTGTCTTGTCTTGGGGGCTTCAAGGATTCCCAGCAGGAGCTGAAGAGCCAGGACTTGTAATGTGTCCTCAGCGGTCCTCAGAGGCAAGTCCCCACCCTCAGGAAGCAGAGGGGACCCTGACCTTAGGGACTGCTGAGGCAGCAATCATAGCCACTCTGGGCAGGGTGGGGTTGGCTGCCCATCATGGCCTCCCAACTGCTGCCTCCTGGTCCCCCAGCCTCCTCTGGGATTGTCCTTAGCAGGGTCAGCCAGCTCCCTGCTGCAGTGCAGGGCCCCAACATGCCCGCCTCCTCCCACATCCTGTCCCCCACCGTGGCCAGCCTGGCCCTGTGCCCTGTGCCCTGCCCTCCTGACCAGCTTTCTGGCTTCCATCCCAGAAAGCCCACAGCCCCTCTATCATCTCTGTTCCCCTGGCGTGGGACTGTCTTTCTCTGCCCGCTGTCTGGCTGGCTCAGACATCGCCAGGTGGTAGAAACGCAGCCCAGTGGGGACTCCCATCGGCCTTTCCTGCGGGAAGGGTGCCTAGCGCAGGGTACCCTTCCCAGTGGGTATGGAATGAGGTCTGCTTTCCATCCAGAACCTCCCTCTTAATGCATGAGGTCTCTTCTCAGATGAGAGTGGAGACCCCAACTCTTTTGGGGTTCCTTTTTTGAGAAGTCTGTCTGGGTGCTCACCAGTGTTTAGAGGAGAAGCCTGGGGTCCAAGGTGTCTGTGGGCCCGATAATGTGAGGTTCATGACATGCTTGGAGAGGGAAGGGGGCGCTTGGAAGGCAGGGGAAAGCTTAGCCCAGTCTAACGGTGCCCGTGATGTCTGAGGCCCTGGCCCCCTTTCCTGACTTCTCATTGGACTCCTTCCTACTCCTCATCCCATGGGCACAAAGAGACCACATTTACCGAGTGATGCGCCTATGCCAGGAGCTTCAGCCATCCTTTCATTCATTCATTCATCCCATGAATGCTTACTGTCTGCCATCTCCAGGTACACTTCTAGGCTCTGGGAATGCATCCTCATGGAGCTTACATTCTCGCAGGGACAGATACGACCACACCAATAGTCCATGCTAGGATGTTCGCAGGTGGTAAACGCTATGGAGAAAATGGAGCTGGAGATGAGGGAGGGTGGGCTGTGATTTTGAATTTAGGGGTCAGAGGGGGCTTTCTGGAGAAGATACCATTTGAACAGAGGATTGAAGGAGGCAAAGGCTGAGCTGTGGGAGGAAGGACCTTCTAGGCCCAGGGACAGGGAGTGCAGAGGCCTGAGTCGGGGGTCAGGGGGGATGAGGGACACTGGGAAAGCCACTGAGAGTGGGGTAAGGTGAGCAAGAGTGAGTTGGGAGGGCAGGGGTGTGGTGGGGTGCGGTGGGGTGCGGAGAGGGGGCAGCTGGACACAGCTTTGCAGGCCAGTGTCAGGACATGGACTTTGTCCTCAGATGGGTGATTTGGAGCAGGGGCATGGGGAGATGGGAGGTGAGTGTTCACAGGAAGGGAGATGACAGCGGAGGGCCGTGCTGGTGGAGCAGGTGGTAGGAAGCGGCCCGGTGCTGGTGCTGCTGAGGGGGCACCTGCAGGACTTCCTGATGGATGTGGAGCTCGAGGCAAAGAAATGAGCCAAAGATAACCCCCAGAGGTTTCTAGCTGAGCAGCTTCCAGGGTGGAGTTGGCCTTTCCTGAGATGGGAAGGAGCTGGTTTGAGGAGGAAGAGCAGTTTCCTTTGGGGGTTAGTTCAGGGTGACAGGGTGATCACACTCCCAAAGGAGCGAGATGAGCCATTCAAGGAAGCAGACCTGGGACCTAAGTTTGGCACTGAAAGGCAAGGACCAAACCCAAGCTCACTTGATGCCACTCCTAGCCACCCTGTCAGGGTGGAAGGACCACCTTTCTCCCATGGACAGGCCTTTGGTTTCAAGCGGCTCACCTTGCAGTCAGCAGCCAACAACGCCACGCCCCCGAAAGGCCAGTGGGTGGAGCTCGAAGCCACGAAATGAATGAGATTCCCGAGGCCCCAAGAGCAGGGCTGTACAAGGCCCAAGGGTGGACTTGGGAGATGAGTTTGATCCTGGCTTTTCCAGTATTGATGGAGGTCTTTTCTATCCTGCTCGTTGTGGTGTTTGTCTTTGTTACTGTTGTTTTAGCCTTACCACTTCATTTCATGTTTGTTTATTGTTGCTGTTGGATTGCACAGTTTATGAAGCAGAGACGGGAGGCGTCCAGATAATAAGTGATGCAAAGATTCGTAGGAGGTGTAGGGTGGTGAGCAGGGGTGGGCAGGGGAGGGGGGACTTTTAGGAGGAAACGGGGAAGGCGGGATGGGGAGCACTAGACCTGAATGTGATTACACAGCTCATTTAAAGGTGATTCAGTCATGGGGGTGGAGAGAAAATGCTCTGAAATTTATTGTGGTAATTGTACGATTTTTCTTGACATGATTTAATTGTATTGATGTGGGTTATGTGCCATTAAAACTGGGAGGGGGGGAGGGGGATGGTGCTGGACCACATTAGGCTGGCAAAGTCCAATCTTGGTAAGACCCCACCTCCCCGTGGTGCTTCTCAGGTGCGAACCATCTGGGCTTCAGAAAGCGTATCAGTGGTGGCCTATTGAGGTATGATCAAGTTGTTCTGCTCCATACAGCGGGAGAGGTTATATCCCTGCAGAAGAGAGATGGCATTCCTTAACACGCAGTGGATGACTTATTGCCCTTCTAGCTATTGATAAGACAGGCTGGCTTACTGAACTGTATCCCAAGTTTCTCTTGATCCTGAGTTGTAACTTCACTTATAACTTAATAAACCCCATAGTCATGAGGAGGGGAAAAAACCTTCCAAGGACTGATGAGAGAGGTTCTGGAGACAGGAGAAAGCCAA